TTTTGTGTGAAGCGATTGAATGCGAAAATAATGATTATTTTTCAATCAATCAAACAATTGATTGCAATTCATGTAAAATCAGTGATAAAATGCTAAACAATTGTCATATCATTACTAAATCTGATGAATATTTTCACTGTTTTTGGCCTAAATGTCAATTCAAGACAAACACTAAACATCAATTAACTTCACATCAATTAATTCATTCAGGAATTAAACAAATTAAATGTGATTTTAAAAATTGTAATAAAAGTTTTCGTCAAAAATTACATTTAATTCAACATAAAAAGTATTTTCATTCAAAAATAAGATTTATTTGTGATTTCAATGAATGCAACAAAAATTTTACAACAAAATCGGATTTATTTCGACACAAAAGTTGTGTTCATTTGAATGAAAGGAAATTTAAATGTAATGAAGAAAATTGTGGCAAAAGTTTTGGTCAGAAATCAAATTTAATTCAACACAAACGCATTCATTCGGGAGAAAAACCATTTGTTTGTGATATTAATAATTGTAGCAAAACGTATACACAAATATCACGCCTTCAACACCATATAAATGTCGCACATTTTAAATATAAATATGTAATGTAAATGTCATACAAGTTTTTGCAAAGCAAACATTTAATTTATAACTAAAATTTTGTTTATTGAAATAAAAAGTTAAATTAATTTTAATACAATTTTTAATACAAACAAAATTTAATAAAAAGCTAATTGAATATCTGATTGTTTGTTTTATATTTATAAATGACCTTGGCAAATCTTAATGATAAAAAACAGCAAACTCAATTAAAGTCAGACCATAAGCAAACTTATGATTGCCCTAAATGTTTACCTTGATAAGTCCATCCAAAATAAATCCTCAATTAAATCACAATAGCATTACATACAGTTGCGGGCATTTAATTAAGTACAATTGGACTTTTTACCTGGATTAATTAGTGCACTAACTTTAAGATAAAACATGATTGAATTTATTATATCGTCATCCTTAAGGTATATAAACAAAAAATATTTTAAACATATTTATATATAACTTTAGTATTAAATTTACTAATTTATATTGAAATTATAAACATAGCAATAATTTCACAAAAATGAAAACAATCGTATTATGTTTAGTATTACTGTTAGCGACATTTGGCAACGCTATTAAACTTGACGATTACGATACCGACGCATATAAAGCGGTACAAAACTCGCGCAACTTTACGGGCAAGGTGGTTTTGGTGACCGGTTCCAGCTCTGGCATCGGTGAAAGTATTGTCAAACTGTTTGCCGTATTGGGGGCTAAAGTGGTGGTCACCGGTAGAAAGGCGTCAGAAATACATAAAGTGGCCCAAGAATTGCAACAACTGTCTCCGTATAAACTGATGGTAAGTTTAGTAATAGATTTTTATTAAATTTAATTAATATTTATAGTAATTTAAGAATAATTATTATATTAATTATTTAATATAATTACTAATTATTTATAATAAATATTATAATTTATTTGTATAGCCGTTGGAAGTGACGGCAGATCTGACCAAACAGTCGGATGTCGAGCGTCTCATCTCAGACACCATCAAAACCTACGGCCGATTGGATGTATTGGTCAATAACGCCGGCATTTATCCCATGTCTGACATTCACGACAAGAATCTGACCGAAGAGTGGGATCAGGTGTTCAGTATTGATCTCCGGGCTGTCGTTCAGGTCGTCCAACAGTCGGTCCGACACCTGGAGAAGACAAACGGCACTATTATTGACATTTCATCCATCGCTGGCATTCATCCGGTAATTAATTATATTTAATTATAAGTAAACAATTATTTCAATTATAGTCTGTACCGGCACTGGCCTACTGCTCGGCCAAAGCGGCCCTAAACATGTTTACAGAGGTATTGGCCCTGGAATTAGGGCCTAAAGGTGTTCGGGTTAATACAGTCAGGTATGTTTAAAGTGCAATATAAACTATTTTAGTAATTTATTTAACCTTGCTCAACTCTAACAGCCCGGCTATAACCCAAGTGCAAAATACCGCTCCATCAGTGATCAAACTATTTGAAAAGTATGCACCGCTCAGACGTGTGGGTCAACCCCTAGACATCGCCAAAGCTGTGGTGTTTTTGGCCTCAACTGACGCCCAGTATATCACTGGCCATAATCTGGTGGTCGACGGCGGACAGGGATATAACATACCCAACACTTACGAGGGTTGGGGTAATTAATTTGAATATAAGGATTTAACTAGTGTAATTTTATATGACAAACCAAATTTAACAATGGCACTTATAATATTGTATTATTGAACTCTAGATTAAATAAAATTTAATTAAAATTATTATATCAATACTTTAGACGCCTGTAATCTAAGAAATGCATGACTTTTTTAAGACATTAATTAATACATAATTAATACAAAAGAGACTTAAATACAAGAAATTATTGCAAAAATACTTACATTTTGTTTGCAAATAATGAGTAAATAATTGAAATAAAATTCTGTATTTTGGACACAAAATTGTTATTTTATTTTATATACAAATTCTGTAAAATAAAAGAATGAATAATCAAAACAACAATTAATTAATGAAAACATTTGTGAACACAGAATACGAGTTGTTTAATACAATTCTCTCTCTCTCTCTCTCTCTCTCTCTCTCTCTCTC